TTTTTAATATATAAAGGGTTCCCATAAGTCATGAGATAAGAGGAAAATATTCCCCCCCAAAATGGGTAAGATACAAATGGCAATGTCCAAAGGAACAAATGAAGTGAAAGTTTAAAGTGAAAGTCACTCAGTCGTGTCTAACTCTTTGGGACCCCATGGAACTCTCCAGGCCAGAATACTGGAGTGGGTAGTCTTTCCCTTTTCCAGGGGATCGTCCCAACTCAGGGACTGAACCCAGGTCTCCCGCATTGCAGGTAGATTCTTTACCACCTGAGCTGTCAAGGAACAAATGAAAACAACAAGTAAATGGAAAAAACATTGGCTCTCAGTGCAAATCAATGAAATAAAAATTTAAATGATGTATTATTCACCTAAGATGTGGAGAAAATGAGCATGCATAGTCTTCAGATTATATACTGGAATAGCTTTTCAAAATGCTATTTCTGGCAATGTAAGCACTTTAAAAAGTTTCTACAATTCTACTTCCAAGAATAAATGCAAAAAATTATTAGACCAGTGTACAAAGTTGTTTACATGAAGACGTTCACTGCAGCTTTGTCTATAATGCTGAAGAGTCAGAAACAACCTAAATGTTCAACAAAAAAAATTATGGCATACCCATACAATGTATTTTTAGATAGCTCTTCAGAGAACACATATTAATATTTAACATGGAAAATTGTTAAATAAGGCAGTTTATGAAATAAAAGCTTCTAAACAGCACATACAACATAAATCTTTTTCTTTAAAGTCTGGAAAAACACCCACCAAAACTTCAGTACTGGTTATCTCTAAGTATTGATACTAGGGTGAAATATTTGGACACTGCCTAATTATTTTATATTGAACATATTCTCATAAACAAAGAAATGGGTTTTAAATTAACAAAATATTAAAGAATATTTAGAAAAATATAATGAACACAAAATTATAATTAGGGGCTTCCCTGGTCTCTCAGTAGGTAAAGAATCCACCTGCCAATGCAGAAGAAGAATACAAGTTTTTTTCCTTCAACTACTGTTTAAACAAAACAAGTATAAAGAATTAAATGGAAATGTAAAGGAAAAAAAAGACAAAAGAGTTGATGCAAAGAAGAAAACAGAAAATTCACATCACAAAATCCATAGAAGGAAGCAAGGTCATCTGTAAAGAGTCAAGTGTTTCAAGACTGGGTTTAGCAACCTGAATTAGGAGTGAAAAGGCAATAAAGAAAATGAGTCAACTTTGGGATGAAAAATATCAGAAATGAACTAACACACAGGCAGCTGGAAAACAAATATTTAACAGCCATGATAGATGTGCTTTTTTCGGGGGTGCTGCTGCTGCTGCTGCTAAGTCACTTCAGTCGTGTCCGACTCTGTGTGACCCCACAGACCGCAGCCCACCAGGCTCCTCTGTCCCCGGGATTCTCCAGGCCAAGTGGGTTATGGCAACCCACTCCAGTACTCTTGCCTGGAGAATCCCGGGGACAGAGGAGCCTGGTGGGCTACAGTCCATGGGGTCTCGAAAAGTCAGGCATGATTGAGTGACTTCACTTTCGGGGGTGCTAGGCCGGGACAAAAGAAAAAGTAAAAGGTGTTATTTACAAGTTAAGAATTGACCAGTAACATAAGGTCAAGAAGAGGACTATGTGGTACTAGTAGGTTCATAGTATATGAACTACAGAATTCAAGATTGGCAAAAGGGAAGAAAACTAACAGCCTGGGAAGGATTGCAGGTGACCATATGGACAAAAAGTTGGTTCACTGGATAGGATGGAAAATACAAAGACAGACCCTTGAATGACAATCTCTGGTCACAGTTTAAGACCTGAGGTCTAAATGATGACAAGGTTAAAGAACACAAGTCATTCATGTAGGTCATTAATGTAAAATGGAGATGAAGGTCACTGAACTTAGTGAACTGTAGGTCTGAATGTGGTCTTTCTGGCCTGAAATAAAGGTAACTAATCCTTTAATCTTTGAGCACTTCACTTTCCTCCAAATTCATTCTTTCTAACCTGACAGGAATTTGGCTGGTACCTAACCTCTCTCTGCACTTTATTCAACCACAAAATGAAGAGAATAAGGAGATGAGAGACTGAATTAAATCAATGGTTCTCAACGCTGACTGCACATTAAAACAAAGAGACAAACAAAAAACCTGGCAAAGCTACCTATACTTTGATTCCAAAGCCAGTGATTGTGATTAATTGTTGAAGGGTGGGGTTCAGGCATCAAGTATTTTTTAAGAAGTTACTCAGGGAATTCTAATGAGCAGCCAAAGTTGAGAACTGAACTAGGTATTTCTAAAGGTTCCTTCCCTTTTAAAAGTTTGTTCACTGTCACTGTGCTCATTTGCTGATTAACCTACTGAACATCCTGCACCAAGCACTTCCACAAACATCTTAGTAAACACTGGGAGGCAAATGTTTCTGTGTCAATTTACAAATAAGTTCAGTGAAGGTTAAAGAAATGAAGTGACCTGTTCAAGATTCAAGAGTCACAAGCTAGAATGGAGCCCAGCTAGAATTGAGGTTTGATTTGATTTTGTTCCAATCCATCCTACATGTAACTTGCTTTATCTAGCACTCACAGCAATTACTTGAATGCCTTCTGTTCTCTTCCCAGGACCCCTTCTCCTCCCGCCCCCAAGCAAAGCACAAAGTTTGTGATTTACAAGTTGACTGGAGAGAAAATTATGGGAACAAGGAATTAACCCCAAATTTTACAGTAATTTCATTACAGAATTACAGACCACCACCTACGGAGGGTTTGCAATTTAAAACAGCACTATGAGAGTGTATTACGGAGTGCATTTTATTCACTTAAGCCAACATACACCTTGTTATTAAACACACAGCTGGTGTACAAAGCTGGTTCTCAAAGATAAATTTATCAACAGAAAAGCAATTTTTATGTTTTCCAATAAGCAAGATGTTCTAAAACAAAATTCTAAGACAATTCCAGCAAAACAATAAATGACAAGAGAAATGAGAGTGTTCTATCAAATAACTTAAATGTATAAACATGATCTTCAAATTTTTAAGGCATTAACTATTTCTATCCAGTGCAAACACTAAACACAGTTGCATTTTAAAAGTATGATTACTTTTTTGCTGACCCACTGCTTCTGCTTTTTTGTTGATTATACTTCAGTACATTATCTACTTGGAAATTTCATAAACATTCAAGTTCTGTACCCCTAATCCAAAATTAGTTGAGTTACTAAGATAAAATCTCAACAACAAAAAAAAAGGCAATTAGAAAAGATCTAACTACTTTCGCTCTTGGAAAGTGCAATTTAACAAGAAATTCATGAAGTATATTTACAAAAGTGTATGTGTATTCATCCATTCAAACCTTTCATGAGCATCATGTTCTCAGCACCCTGAGGAGGAAGAGGCAAGTCAGAGCTCATGTAACGCTTGCTGTTGAGGAAGTGCCATGGCAGAAAAATGTAATATTTACTGGGATTCATCTGGACAGATAAGTGACTTATTCTTGGGGAGAAAAGGGGGTGGGATAAGGAGAACTGTGCAAATAAGCTTTAAAGAGCACAGGTTGAGTATTTTTAAGAGAAAAAAATTCAGTATATAAAACCTTGGAAATAAGGGAAAATTCCTAGGAAACACACACACACAAACTCACTAAGGAACTAAATTAAAATCAGAAAGAGCAGCTAGGACAGAGAAAACAAAGTGGACAGAAACTGCTCCACGGGAATGAGTTAAGTATCCTGCAAAGTTACGCGATAAGAAAAATGAGAAGGCTTCAGTCATAAGACCTCAGTTAAACATCAACTTGTCCGCTAGATTTGTGACATTAGTTAAATCACCTCAATTCTAGGTAACTTTTCATCCAGAAAAACACATATGTATAATGGCAATCACCTGACAATGAAAAAACAAAAACTAAGAATATTAGCAATCAAACCTGAGCAGAAGTTATATTTTTACCTACAGATTAAGAAGAGAAATTCTCCGAGACACTTTGAAGGATTTATCTTCTTTGTGATTAAGAATGCTCTCAGTACAATTAACAAATTTGGAAGCCCAGATGCCTCTATTAAAACTAGCAACTGACATTCATTTACTTGGGTGATTCAAGCTGAATCTTTTTTGATGCCTTGGTCAGGGCACCAGTTTTATTTTTTGAGGCGATTACATGTGCTTTCCAAATAAGTAACTTAATACCATTCACCTCTAAAGCTGTGAGGACCGAAGAGATTAAAAACAGAAGCCTTCGTTAATACTAAATTAACCCGAGGACCCCATGAGCTACCAGAGTACAGAAAAATGTAAATACTCAGAACACGGTAGGCATGCACCCTTTAAGGAACCAAACGAGGGGGAAAACTTTACAATGTCAAGATCACTTCACCTTATTCTTAAGGGAACAACACATGCCTTTCTCTCAGTGAACCGTCTTGGCTTTCTTCGCTGAAGTTCTTCAGTAACGCACTAAAAAAACAACAAACCTTGAGTCTATGAATTACAGAGACGGGCTTGGTTATCTGTAACCTTCATACTACCCGTTCTTTCCACCGCACACTCGCAAGTTACTATTACAACTTAGTAAGAGCGCACAGCGGGTATTCAAGCCGCATGAGCAGCAAGCTCTCGGCATCAAACACAAATTTTAAAGAAAAACTTGGGCATACGACTTTAAAAGACTCCACATAAGTAAGGCGTCAGAGCCAGCCCTTCTATCAGGGCAAATTGTGCGGTGCCTTTTATTTTTTTTTTGTCTCAAATCACATAAAAAGACACTGTTCAAGTTCTCAAATCACATAAAAAGACGCTGTTCAAGTTACAAGTTCCCTGATGCCCGGACCCTGCAAACTTTCTGGACAGAAAGCCGCTGCCACCCCAAGACGCCAGTGGCCACGACGGGCACCCAAGTCTTCACGCCCTCACAACTTCTCGCCGGACCTCGGGGTTCCCCTCCCCGCGGGCCGGACGAGCACCCGCGCGGCCCTACTCCTTTGCTCGGAGTCGAGGGCGCGCGCCCTGACGCGGATTGGCTGCACGTGAGACGTCTTTTACCTGGGCTGCCGGGCGCTGGCGAGCGCTCGGAAAGGACGGTTCACCTCCTCGTGAAGTGCTTAACGACGCTATAAAAATGGAAGGATGGGTAGGCCCCTTTCCCGTCACCCCGAACGGGCCTTGCGGGGAATTCAGGAACTTTCCGCAACCGGGAAATGAAAGCTTTGGATTTAGCTGCCCAAGGCATCCGGGTAGACATCTGTTTGCTACATCCCCGTGGCGCGGCCGTTCCTGCACCCTCACGTGTTTCATCCGCTTGCTCGCCCTGAAAACCCAACCGCTTGAAACACAGGGAACGACGGCGGCAACACATACCCCACATACTCCGCACAGCCTTTTAAGTGATGCCCTTATTCCCTGACTTAGAATTCTGGTCTTTCCCAAAATTTTCTATGACACCACAAACGTGCTTCACACTCTTGGGAAACAGTGATGATGGGTATACAGTATATAAGGTCGAACGTGCCCTTCATTTATACCACAGCTAAGTGCGCTGGTGGGTCCGCGGAGACGTAACAGATGCCTAAGGTACACAAGAACTGGGGGCCTGGTGGCCGGGATGGGGGTGGGGAAGACTGCTTATTCGCTTCAAACAAGAAGTGAATAGGCAGAAATTAGATTTGAGTAAATTTTATCTTTCCCGTTGATCAAGATTTTGAAAAAATACCTGTCTTTTTCTATTTTTCTTTTTTTAATTGTTTTCTTCATTTCTGTTTGTTTTTTCTTTTCTTTGAAATAGTAACTTTTTTTTTTACCTTTGATTGTTGTTGAATCAGAACCATCAGAACCCACACACATAAAAGAGCACCCACCTAGGGAACATAAAGCAGGTCTTTGTTCCAACCAACTTTCTTTTGGTCTGGCATCTGCCCTCTCCAGATCTTCCACCTCCCCTCCTCTTCTGTTTGAATATATCAGAAACAAAAATTTTTTTTAAAGAATTGGTGACTAGAACAATACTGGCAAGGATGAATTTTTTAAATAGGAAAACAGGAAATCACCATCACAGAATCCTTTACAAGTGTTAGCTGTAGTTGTCTGTAGACAAGTACAAATGTTCCTAGAACTCTCATCTCAACCATCACCATACCCCAAATTCTTTTAACCTCATTCCCCCTCTGCACACAGAACAGCCTCTGTCAGTGGAAAGAAAGATGGACTTACCTCCAAAATCCCTTTAAATTTTGAGATTAGGAATTGCTATGTCTGATAAGGTGTCTAAGGTCTAGTCTAAAGTGATAGGAAACATTTTTGATCACTCACCTATTAATAAAAATGTTTGCCCTCTCTCACCTCCCATTATACTTATTTAGCTTACCATAAATGTCATGGGGACTTCCCTCCTGGCTAAGTGGTAGACTCTACCTGTCAATACAGGAGACATGGGTTCAATCCCTGAGTCAGAAAGATTCCCCGGAGAAGAAAATGGCAACCCACTCCAGTATTCTTGCCTGGGAAATTCCATGGACAGGGGAGTCTAGTGGGCTACAGTCCATGGGGTTGCAAAAGTCACATGATTTTGTGAGTAAACAACAACAAAAGGCATGGACTTAGCAGCCAAAAGGACTAATCAATGTTTGGCTTTGCCACCAGCTACACAGTATCAAAAGGCAAAAAGATATGACACAGGAAGATGACCCCCCCCCAGATTGGTATGTGCCCAATATGCTACTGGGGAAGAGCAGAGAAATAGCTCCAGAAAGAATGAAGAGGCTGAGCCAAAGCAGAAATGACGCTCAGATGTGAATGCGTATGGTGATGAAAGTAAGGTCCAATGTAAAGAACACTATTGCATAGGAACCTGGAATGTTAGGTCCATGAATCAAGGTAAGTTGGATGTGGTCAAGCAGGAGATGGCAAGAGTGAACATCAGTATTTTAGGAATCAGTGAATTAAAGTAGATGGGAATGAGCAGATTTAATTCAGATGAGCATTATATCTACTACTGTGGGCAGGAATCCCTTAGAAGAAATGAAATAGCCCTCATAGTTAACAAAAAGTCCAAAATGCAGTACTTCAAGAAGCAACAATTAGAACCAGACATGGAATGAACTGGTTCCAACTTGGGAAAGGAGTATGTCAAGGCTGTATACTGTCACCCTGCTTATTTAACTTATATGCATAGTACATCATGTGAAATGCCAAGCTGGATGACTCATAAGTTGTAATCAAGATTGCCAGGAGAAATACCAACAACCTCAGGTATGCAGATGTCACCATTCCAATGGCAGAAAGCAAAGAGGAACTAAAGAGCCTCTTGATGAGGGTGAAAGAGGAGAGTAGAAAAGCTAGTTTGAAACTCAACATTCAAAAAACCAAGATCATGGCATCCAGTCCCATCACTTCACAGCAAATAGGAAAAAAATGGAAACAGTTGCAGCTTTTATTCTCTTGGGCTCCAAAATCACTGCAGACAGTGACTGAAGCTTAATGAAATTAAGACCCTTGTTCTTTGGAAGAAAAGCTATGACAAACCTAGACAGCATATTAAAAAGCAGAGACATCACTTTACTGACAAAGTTCCATCTAGTCAAAGCAATGGTTTTTCCAGTGGTCATGTATGGATGTGAGAGTTGTACCATAAAGAAGGCTGAGAACCGAAGAAGCGATGCTTTCAAACTGGGGTGCTGGAGAACTCTTGAGAGTCCCTTGGACTGCACGGAGATCCAACCAGTCCATCTTAAAGGAAATCAGTCCTGAATATTCATTGGAAGGACTGATGCTGAAGCTGAAGCTCCAATACTTTGGCCACTTGATTCAAAGAGCCAACTCATTGGAGAAGATCCTGATGCTGGGAAAGATTGAGGGCAGAAGGAGAAGGGGACGGCAGAGGATGAGATGTTTGGATGGTATCACCGACTCAATGGACATGAGTTTGAGTAAACTCTGGGAATTGGTGTTGGACAGGGAAGCCTGGCATGCTGCAGTCCGTGGGGTCGCAGAGTCAGACACAAACAGCGACTGAACAACAACCTGTGTCCTTGACCACACCCAAATTTTGCCTTAGTTTCTTCATTTGTAGCATTAGGATATTTAAATTATCTACCTCACAGCATCATTATGAAGATAAAATGAGTTAATATTTGTAAAGCATAGTGCCTAGTACATGGGAAGGGCTATAAATGTAAAATATATATAATTAATTGTGTATAAAATAATATATATAATATATGCACACATGGGGGGCTTCTCTGGTGACTCAGACAGTAAAGAATTTGCCTGCAATGCAGGAGACCTGCGTTCAGTCCCTGGGTCAAGAAGATTCCCTGGAGAAGGGAATGACTACCGACTCCAGTTTTCTTGCCTGGAGAATTCCATGGAGGAGCCTGGCAGGCTACAGTCTATGGGGTCAAAAGGAGTCTGACAGGACTGAGTGAGTAACACTTTAGCCAACTGTAGTTATTTAAATTAAAATGTTTGTTCCTGGGGGGATTTCCCTGGTGATACAGTGAATAAGAATCTGCTTTCAAATGCAGGGGACACAGGTTTGATCCCTGATCTGGGAAGATTTCCCATGCCTTGAAGTAACTCAAGCCCACGCATGGCAACTACCAAACCCACCCTCTAGAGCCCTGGAGCCGCAACTACTGAAGCCCATGCCCCTGGAGTCTGCTCTGCAAAAAGAAAAGCCACTGCAATGAGAAGTCCTGGCACCGCATCTAACAGTAGCCCCCGCTCACAATAGCTAAAGAAAGCCCGAGCGCAGCAACGGAAGAGCCCAGCGAACCACAAAGAAATAAAAAATTTAGCTCCTGGGACTTCCCTGGCAGTCCAGTGGTTAAGACTCCTCCTTCCAATGCAGGAGCTTGGGTTCAATCCCTGATTGGGGAACTAAGATCTGCATGCTGCACAACTTGGCCAATAAATAAATAAATAAGTAAATAAGATCACTTCATTAAAAAAAAAAATTAGTTCCTCCATCATATCAGCCACATTTCAAGTGCTTAAAGGTCATATAACTACTGAACAGTGTAGATATATTTCTATCATTGCAGAGACTTCTATTGGATAACACTGACAAAGCTGAAAAAAGCAAGCGACTCAGGCAGTATGATCAACTCTTGACTTGAACTTGTAACTGGGGTACCCTGTTCAAATCGAGTGATAAGATCTCTCTCTGAGCCTCACATCTCTATAAAATGAAAATAAAAATAGGAACTACCTCATGGATTGCCACACAGAGAAAATGAGGTAAGGTGTTAAAGTCTTTGGCAGAGTGCCTAAGAGGAACTTGGAAATGTTAGTAAAATTTGAGTTTAACCCAATTCTAAAAGCCTGAAGGGCAAAGATATTATCCTTGACTCTAGCAAGTAAGCTTTTAAAGGATATGTATTTTGGAAAAGACAAGAATTTGGTTAACTTTTAGTTGAAAACAGAATATTCAGAGGAAGATGACAAATACCTGGATTTTAATTACTACTGGATTTCTTTTTTTTTTTTTGGTAAAGAATCCACCTGCAGTGCGGGAGACCTGGGTTTGATCCCTGGGTTGGGAAGATCCCCTGGAGAAGGGAATGGCTACCGACTCCAGTTTTCTTGCCTGGAGAATTCCATGGGCTGTATAGTCCATGGGGTTGCAGAGAGTCGGACATGACTGAGTGACTTTCACTTTCACTTCGCTTTCTTTTTTACTTTTTTGAAGTTTCTTGGCTGCACTGGGTCTTCACTGCTGGGAAGGCTTTTCTCTCGCTGCGGCGAGCAGGGGCTCCTCCTCATTCAGTGCACAGGCTTCTCACTGCGGGGGCTTCTCTTGTGGAGCACGGGCTCTAGGCACACGGGCTTCAGCAGTTGTGGTGTGTAGGCTCAATAGTTGTGGCACGCAGGCCTAGTTTCTCCGCAGTATGTGGGGTCCTCCCAGACCAGGGACCAAACCCATGTCCCCTGCACTGGCAGGCGGATTCTTCACCACTGAGCCACCAGGGAAGCCCACTACTGGATTTCTTTGTTCCTGGTCTTCTCCTGGTGGTACCCATTTCAGTAATGGCACTGCCACCCACAAATCTCATGAGTCATCACTACACCATCCCCTTTCCCATCTTCTCTAACCAATCCTTTTGCCTCCAAAATATTGTAGGATCTGCTTCCAAAACACTTTATCTGGTCTCTTCCCCTCTCTTTGTGTCCCCTCTGCACCAAGAGCATACAGGCTGTATCAACCCCCCGCCCAGGCGGCCATGTACCTGGTGCAGGTTGTAGTAATAGGACAGCCTTATGGAGGAGTCCCTTTCCCTCTAAGGCAGTGTCAATTTAATATTCATCACCAATATCCTCTGGCAGGTGTCAGTAAAGTGTCTTGTTCTAATAAAAGTATTTTATAGCAATTTTTCAACAAGATGGAAATGTCTTGAGGAGTAGAATACTCTTCTAATTTGCCCAAAGATGCCACATGGGGTATAACATTTCTCTTTCACTTAGAACAAAATGCCAGCTCATCACCAGGTCCTACAAGGCCTAGCACAACCCAGCCTCTACTAGTCTGTCCGTCTAAAATGATGCCCCACTCCACCAAATTCCAGTGATGTTGACCTTCTGTTGTTTTGAAAATAGATCTTGTTCTGTGGTGTCCACCGCCTCGGCCATTTCTCTACCTAGACAGTCCCAAGTCCTCCCCACCCTGCCCTTCACATAGCTGTGGCCCCCCGTTTTCTGTCAGGCCTCTGAGCCCTGAGAGGGTACCCTGTGTGTTTCCCTCTCAGAACCCGGAGGTCTGTCTGGAAACTGTAAGCTCCTAAAGGCAGGGAGCTCACTGTCTTGTTCTCCTTCTGTCCCCAGGCCCTAAGAGGACGGGAGGTCAGCGGTTGTTCGTTTTAGCATTGCTGCCACCCCTTTCTACACTCTGCTCTGCAGATGGGGAGCAAACCTAGAACTCCGTTTTCCCTGAGGACTTTTCCCTCAGTGGTTCCAGGTTGGATTCTGCCGTTGGAGACACATATGTGAGATCGGAAAGGCAGAAGAAAAGGAGAAATCATTTCTCTCCAGTATAGCTTCAGGCAGCTCAGACAACAAGGGACTGTTTTCCTAGACTCGTGGAAAAATATGAGACAAACCTGAAAAAAATGGCCATTCTATTTTCTAAAGCTGGGGGAGGGGGCCGAATTCTAAAGAAGGGCAGTAGAAATGTTCCAGATTTAAAGAGGCAAAAGAGACATCACAACTAAATGCAATACGGTCAGCCCTCTAGATCTGTAGATGCCAAATCTGAGGATACAGGGGTCTGACTATTATGCCATTTTATACAAGGGACTTGAGCACCTGTGGATTTGGGGATCTGCACACAGCATGGTGGGGGAGGGAGGGCTTCCTGGAACCAATGCCCCTGCGGATAAGGAGATACGACAGTATCCGACCATGTGCTGGGTCCTGAACTGATACTGAAAGGGGAGAATGATACAGAGGATATCATTGGGTAAACTGACAAAATTGGAATGTGAACAGAAAACTAGGTAAAAAGTGTTGTGTCAGAGTTAAATTCATTGTTCTGGCTAAGAATAATAACCAGAGAACATCCCTACTTTTAGGATATGCACACTGAAATATTTAGGGGCAAAGGACTATGATGTGTATAACACCTGCAAATAACTCAGAAAAAAATTAATATAATATATGTAACTTAAATGTTAATGACTTCCCTGGTGGCTCAGGCGGTAAAAGCGTCTCCTACAAAGCGGGAGACCCAGGTTTGATCCCTGGGTGGGGAAGATCCTCTGGAGAAGGAAATGGCAACCCACTCCAGTATTCTTGCCTGGGAAATCCCATGGATAAAGGAGCCTGGCGGGCTAGAGTTCATGGGGTTGCAAAGAGTTGAACACAACTGAGCAACTTCACAAATGTTAAGTATAAAAGAGAGAAGTCACCTAAGTAAGTGATAAAGTAAATGGAGTAAAATATTAGTAGGTGAATTTGTGTAGAGTATATGAATATATAGGTACTATTTCTATTCTTTCAAAATGTAAATTTGAAGTTATTCACCCAAAAAACAATAGTTAAAATATCTATATGATGAAGCATTAAATAAACTAAACTGATTAACGCAAGACAAACTAGAATAATTCTCTTAAATATCCAGTCTCAAAATAGGCCCGGACTGACAGCTACAATTAAAAAACAATACATTTTATACTTTTTTTTCTGTTAGTAATTCACCAGTGAACAAAAAGTGAATTTACTTTCCTTGAAGAAATTAATGCTGCTTGGCTATGGGAAAATAACCTATCATACACAAAGTGACTTACAGTGTAAAATACTTAAATTTTTTAATAAAAAAAGCTTTATAAAATACTTAGCTATCTTTGGCAGGGTTATGCATAATTCCTTTCCTCCTTCTCTGTAATTTACCAATCCTCTATAATAAGTACATATTGTTTTATTTTTGTAAAAATCACCCAAGGCATACTCATGGGTAAGTATTTCAATGAAGTATGAATCATATTCAAATGCTCATACACAAAAAGACACAATGTCTGCTTTCTTTGATAGAAAATTCCTAAATGATTTACATATTACCTTCTGTGCCAGTGGTGGGAAATTATGTAACAAATGCCTTATTTCTCAACATTAACATCTGTAAATGGCAAATAAAACATTAACTTCAACATGCAGTTATCAAGTAAGCTTACCATATATAGAGCTAGCTCAAAATAAGTATAGAACCTGCAAAGTTGGAACAAAAAATTCATCCAAAACTTTAAATCCATATATTATCAAAGGAATCTACTTTAAAGAGCAATATATTTTTTCTAGAATACTTGTATAAATAGGTGGTTCATAGTTTACATGAACATAGTTTACATGAACATAGTTTACAATAAATTTATATAAAGAGAAGAAATTTAAGCATGATTCATTAATTCATTTTCAAATAAAAATTAAAACTTTTACAGTTTGGAGCCAGATAGACCTGAGTTCAGATTCTGATACTGCAACATATTAACTAAATAACCTTGTGTAAATGGCTTAACTCAATTTTCTTATTAGTAAAATTTGTAAAATGGGAACAATAATCCCTGCTCCCTAGGACTATAAAGATTAGGGGTAACATGAGTAAAGCACTTAGCATATAACAGGTGCTCAGTACACAGTGGATGTGGTGTTAATTGTTGTAGTAGTAAATGTTTTCCTTTTTTTTTTGGACCTTACCACGTGGCTTGTCGGATTTTAGTTCCCCAACCAGGGATGGAACCCAGGCCCTTGGCAGTGAGAGCACCAAGAACAATAAGGGAATTTCCATGTTGTTGTTATTGAAATTATTATAAAATCAAAATTTTACATGAAAAGGCAGGAAATAGTATATTAAATCTTGACATGCCTGATTCACAGATCCCTGGCCAATACATGCAAAGAGACCTCCTCCATATTTGTGCCTCACTGTACACTTAAAACTGAGAACAAACAACGACAGTTCACAAGTAGCATACATCTTATGTGACAAGTGGTCATCCAGCTGCAGCCACAAGACTGTGCTTCTCACCTGGACCCCCCTGACTCTGGAGTCACCCCCAACACTCTTCTGCAGCCTCTACTTCGGCTCACGCCACTCACAGGTCTCTTTACTTCTTAGCTAAAGCCCAGCCACCAGGCCTGGCAGGCGCCAGGACAGGCAGGATAGATGGAACAGGTTCTAGAAGAGAGGCAAGGTGGCTGGACCCAGAGAAAAGGTCCAAACTCCTTGCAGCACAGTTGCCTTGCTTCACTGCAACTGGGCCTCAGCACACATAATCAGTGCCCGTTTCGTTATGACTCATGCATAAAGAAGTCCAAATCTGGAAGTGAAACTGAGTGCCAAGGCAGCCAAGAAACAGGGAACAGAGGCAAGAGATACAGACGCACAGCCAGGGACTGCAGGACTTGGTGCAGAGGACTGTTTCCAAGCTGGGGTCAAAACTCCTAAAGGTTGGAAAGGATGTTTTGATGTGGAAAACACTGCAGAGCTTTCTGGTGGTAATGCAGAGCTTCTTCATGGTAATGCAAAGTTATGAATGGCCTCATCCCATCACTCAGTACCTTCTCCTCACTTCCTCCAAGTGCTGAATTTTTTTCCACTTACTTTTCCTCCAAAGCATCTCCAGCATATCTTCTTATTTTCTACCAGCCTCTACTTTTCTGTAGGAGGATCCTGATACACAGTCTCCTTTCCCAGAAATGGAGTACGTGTCTATGTATGTGTGTGTGTGCTTAATCACTACAGTCGTGTCCAATTCTTTGTTACGCCGTGGACTGTAGCTCGCCAGGCTTCTCTGTCCATGGGATTCTCCAGGCAAGAACACTGGAGTGGATTGCTATGCTCTCCTCCAAGGGATCTTCCCAACCCAGGGAGATGGAACCCACATCTCTTAAGTCTCCTGCATGGGCAGGCAGGTTCTTTACCACTAGCGCCACCTGTGTCTATATATAAGATAGTGCTAAGTCGTGTCCAACTTGCAATCCCATGAACTGTAGCCTGCCAGGCTCCTCTGTCCGTGGGATTCTCCAGGCAAGAATACTGGGCTGGGTTGCCATTTCCTTCTCCAGGGGAACTTCCCTACCAGGAAATGAACCCAGGTCTCCCACATTGCAGGCAGATGCTTTACCAACTGAGCTATGTGGGAAGTCATGTCTAAGTATAGAAATACAAATGTGTACATCATCACAGATTTGAAGACCAAAATAATTCACAAACATCTTCCACTTGAGGAAATGGTTCAGATGGGAAGTGAATTAGCCTTATTTATTTAAATGGCATAAGGTATGTAGGGAAGACAAACAAGGACCATGTACATTCTAGCAAGGGGAGAAAATATAGATAATAACCATGATAATTGCAGACAGTGATAGAAAGTAATAAAAGAAATACACATGGGAAGTACCATGACATCACCCAGGACTATTTAGGGTGTTATTGTTGTTGCTAAGTCACTAAGATGTGTCTGACTCTTTTGCAACCCCATGAACTCTAGCCCACCAGGCTCCTCTGTCCATGGGAATTCAAAGGCAGGAATGCTAGAATGGGTTACCATTTCCTCCTCCAAGGGATCTTCCCAACCTAGGGATAGAACCCATGTCTCCTCCATTGGCAGACAGATTCTTCACTGCTGAGCCACCAGGGAAACCCTATGGGGGATACTTTACCTCTCAATATTCATCAACCCCACCACCATTACTCTTTCTTGCAAAGGAAAACTGGTAGCTTCTCAATATTATGTAAGTCACTGTGCAAATGCATCTTCAAGACAAGTTCTTTAGACGAAAGTCACCACCAACTCCTCCCACCATCACATACTCTCAACCAGATTACTGCCCCTAAACTAATCTTCTATAAAAATTTTGGAGCCATCACAGAGTTTTTAATGGAAAATAATTGGCTATTTTAGATAGGATGATTCATTCAGCCGGGCTAAGGAGATGACAATGCATTGAAGGATGAGAAAGAGGCAGCTCTTGAAAGAGCTAGAAAAAAGATCAGTGTGGCAAATGCATATGTGTGCTCAGTCATGTCTGACTCTCTGCAACCCCAAGGATGGTAGCCTGCCAGGCTCCTCTGTCTATGGGATTTCCCAGGCAAGAATCCTGGAGCGGGTTGCCATTTCCTCCTCCAGGGGATCTTCCCAACCCAGGGATAGAACCTGTCTCTGGAGTCTCCTGCATTGGCAGACAGGCTCTTTGGGAAGCCCAGTATAGCTCAGGAAGAAGCAGATGTATCAAGCATAATGAGGTAGCCAAAGGCCATAAGAGTTCTTACTTGAACGAGAAGGGCTTGAACTGAAGGGTGATAAGCGGGAGAATGTGTTGTTGTTGTTTAGTTGCTAAGTCATGTCTGACTTTTTTGGTACCCCATGGACTGTAGCTATGTATTACAATGTGAGGAAGACACTATTTGTTTATATGGCATGATAGCTATATAAAAATTGGGACAGAAAACAATAAGGAAATTTATGAAAGGTTAGTTGTTCTACTTTAATCTTTCTAATATTTTATGCAATTCCTATTCTTTTAATCAGCTTTATTGTTGTTGTTTAGTCACTAAGTCATGTATGACTCTTTGCAACCCCATGGACTGCAGCACACCAGGCTCCCCTGTCCTTCACTATGTCCCAGAATTTGTTCAAACTCATGTCCACTGAGTCAGTGATGCCATCTAGCCATCTCATTCTCTGCCATCCTCTTCTTCTCCTGCCCTCAATCTTTCCCAGCATCAGGGTCGTCTCCAAAGAGTCGGCTCTTCATGTCAAGTGGACAGTTTTGGAACTTCACCTTCAGCACCAGTCCTTCCAATGAATATTCAGGGTTGATTTCCTTTAGGATTGAACGGGTTTGATCTTCTTGCCATCGAAGGGACTCTCAAGAGTCTTTTTCAGCACCACAATTTAAAAGCATCAATTGTTCAGCACTCAGCCTTCTTTATGGTCTAACTCTCACATCTGTACTTGACTACTGGAAAAACCATAGCTTTGACTATATGCACCTTTGTCAGCAAAGTGGTGTCTCTGCTTTTTTTTTTTTAAATATTTATTTATTTTTATTTATTTGGCTTCAATGGGTTTTCTTTGCAGCATGTGGTATCTAGTTCCCTGACCAGGGATCAAACCCAGGTCCTCTGCCTGGGAGTTTGGCATCTTACCCACTGGACCACCAGGGAAGTCCCAGTATCTCTGCTTTTTAATACATTGTCTAGGTTCATCATAGCTTTCCTTCTAAGGAGCAAGTGTCTTTTAATTTCATTGCTACAGTCAACATCCACAGTGATTTTGGAGCCCAAGAAAATAAAATCTGCCAGTTTACATTTTTTTCCCATCTATTTGCCATGAAGTGATGGGACTGGGTGCTATGATCTTAGTTTTCTTAATGTTGAGTTTTAAACTAGCTTTTGCACTCTCCAGAAAAACATCTATTTCTGCTTTATTGACTATGCCAAAGTCTTTGACTGTGTGGATCACAACAAACTGGAAAATTCTTAAAGAGATGGGAATAACAGACCACCTGACCTGCCTCTTGAGAAATCTATATGCAGCTCAAGAAGCAACAGTTAGAACTGGACATGGAACAACAGACTGGTTGCAAATCGAGAAAGGAGTACATCAAGGCTGTATATTATCACCCTGCTTATTTAACTTATATGCAGAGTATATCATGTGAAGGAGTACATCAAGGCTGTATATTATCACCCTGCTTATTTAACTTATATGCAGAGTACATCATAAGAAATGCTGGGCTAGAAGAAGCACAAGCTGGAATCAAGGTTGCTGGGAGAAATAGCAATAACCTCAGATATACTCTTGAGAGTCCCTTGGACTGCAAGGAGATCCAACCAGTCCATCCCAAAGGAAATCAGTCCTGAATATTCACTGGAAGGACTGATGCTAAAGCTGAAACTCCAATACTTTGGCTAACTGATGCAGAGAGCTGACTCTTTGGAAAAGACCCTGATATTGGGAAAGATTGAGGGCAAAAGAAGGGGGCAACAGAGGATGAAATGGTTGGATTGTTATCACCAACTCAATGGACATGTGTTTAAGCAAACACTGGGAGATAGTGAAGGACAGGGAAGCCTGGCATGCTACAGTCCATGGAGTGGCCAAGAGTCAGACAAGACTTAGCTACTGAACAACAAAGCAATGAAGCTCAGGAATTTTAATTGATAATTGAAAAAAGTGATGTACTTTCTCCTGGGGACATGAACAACGAATCAGGTAACCTCAGGACTTTTGGTATCTATCATAGGACCATGAAGAAATCTCCCTAAGATGCAGCTCACATAGTGGAAACCAGACAGAGAGAGGAAAAGAAATGAGACCTTGATACTGACAAGTCTTATCTGCAACCTGAACCATCTCTGGCCTCTTTAGGTGAGTTAATGAATTCCCTTCATTGTTTAGGTCAGTGAAGCTGGGTTTTCTGTTGCTTTCAACCAAAAGACTCCTATTTAATAATACCAACACTATGACCCAGTCACCTTGAGTGAAAAATACACACATTTTTTACTTCAAAATATAGTTAAACTGAACTCAAAATGTATAGAGCATCAGTCAGTTCAGTTCAGTTCAGTCACTCAGTTGTGTCTGACTCTTTGCATCCATCTGCAGCATCTAAAAAACATTTTTACAATTGGGAACACTCCAGATTTCCAGCTGCTGAGGAGTGTCATTCCTCAAGTGTTGACTGGTTGACATCTGCTTGGACAAACAACCATGGGCAGCTCTCTGCACTCCAAGCTTTTCTCAAAACTATCTGCTGAGCCATCGGGTTGGACGCCACTGAGAAGAAACCTTGGTGTGTTGTGAAAACCTCATCCAAGGCCTGACCACCCCTGAATGGAGAGCAGGCAAACAGAAAAACTCCTGTGCAGTCAGAGGCTTCTAACTTCCTGCCCTGTGGTTTGAATGGTGAAGTCTGAGTATGTGCTATGCAGCTCCAAACAGTGTGACTGAGTCAACCTAGAGGCTTCAAGGTAAGAGAAAAAGGGGAAATGGAGGAACATTTTTAAATCCAGGGAGCAGTATTCTCCCTTTCATTCATATTTCTAACTCTCCTGTCCTCTTACCACATTTGACCAACTGGAGAAGCCTCCAAGATCGGATGATGTAACAACATAAAAATTGTCAAGGGAGAATTTCCAGAGATTATAGAGTGAATGAAACACGTGATTTGTGGTCTTCTCTGTCATACAAACCCATCTTCTCTTGGGTCACCATATTTTTCCTTTTTCCTCTCTCCTTCTTGGTGTTGACAAATACTAAGGCATTAAAAGAAGAACTTTTTAGACTTCTGTGGTAATGACAGATAAAGCAGATCCATTAAATGTAAAAAAGAATTTTTAAAGACTTAGCAGTTTGCAAGATGGGCACATGATTTGATAGGTCCTTCAAATGCAAGACTATCTTGATATATACAGTTTCGCTTATTGCAAATCTCAGAAGGGCATTTATATTAACTTTTGGGTAATTTCAGATCTAAGCTGAAGCCCTAGTGTCAAAGTTAGTTTTATAAATCTCCACGAACTATCAAAGAAAGCCATATCTGCCTTTTTTGTTGTTACTGCTATTTTGATCTCACAGCAAGCAAAGAATGTAGGAGAAGGTAAGGGCATAATCCTCACCTGTATACACGGAATGAAAGAAGGCGATTCTAGAACGGTGGAGGAAAATATACACAGAAAGTCGGCAAGATGACTCATAAGTACAAGCACTAAAATAGCTCGGCTTTTGTATGTGGTGTGACACGTCCGCCAACAACTAACTAATGTAATAGAATACTGAATCACTTGGGACTAGATTTATTTAACAGCTCCTGTCAAGTGCACCTACATATGTAGTACCTGCCGCTGACTTTCAGCAAAAATGGCCATCAGTCTGAGGGGGCGGGAGGGTGGGGGAGCGGCAGGGAGGTCACCCACTGGTCGGTGCCAGGGCAGCAGCTGCCCTTGCTTTAATGAGGTCCCCCTCACTTTGCCTTCCACCTACCCGTCTGATGAGCACGGGGCGTTCAGAGGCGGAGTCCCAGGGGCCCTGCTGAGGCTGAGGGCGGACTCTCCTGCCGTCTCTCTCCTGCAGGCCTCCGGCTGCTGTGGGCCCTTTTCTCCTTCCAGCCAGCCCCGTGTGTTTCATCTCTGGCTCCATTTTGCGCCTTCCAGGCTGAGGATCCACATCTGCTTGTTTCACGCGGTCTCTGCTCCTTGCTCACAGAAGCAAGCGCGTCCTTTCCAAGTCAAGGCTTCATGGGGGACTGGTTCAAGGGAGCAGACAGGGAAAGAACAGCAAGTGTGGGGAAGCCTCAGGGCTCAGGAAAACTTCCCAGGGCCCCATCTCTGGAGTCCTGGCTCCCCCGGACATCCCTCGGCCTCCGCACACCCTGATTTCCTGGCACTGACCAGTGCCAGGAGGACAGGGCTCACCTCTCTCTGGTGTGGGGCGGGGGGCGGGTGAGAGCCCCACATTCCTGCCGCCTCTCCCCCAGGGCTGATGCATTCCTGGGCCTGCGGTTCCAATCAGGACCGAATGACGGAATCAACTGGTATCCCCTCTGACATCATTTTCTGAAGTTAAAAATTCACATTTCTGAGGTGTCCTCAGGCCAAGGACACGTCTTCCTATGTACTCCCTACTCCATAGGAAAACAACTCTCTGCGGGCCTTCCCTCACACAGCTCGCAATAGAGCAGAGTCAGGCGGTTTGTCTCCAGACCTTACTCTGTTGCTTGCTTGCTCCCTGCGTGGTCTCGGGCACACCACGCAACGCCATTAAGCCTCAGTTTCCTTGCCTGTGGAACTGTGGTAAGGTCTCAAAGAGATAGTCCATGTATCACTGATTTGGGGACACATTTGGGAAATCCCATGGACGGAGGAGCCTGGTGGGCTCCAGTCCATGGGGTCAGGAAGAGTCAGACACGACTGAGCGACTTCACTTTCACGCATTGGAGAAGGACATGGCAACCCACTCCAGTATTCTTGCCTGGAGAATCCAGGGATGGGAGCCTGGTGGGCTGCCGTCTATGGGGTCACAAAGAGTTGGACACGACTGACGTGACTTAGCGGTAGCAGTGAAAATTAACACCAGCAAGGAGCTCTCCTCAGTGCTCTGTGATGACCTAAATGGGGAGGACATCTTTTAAAAGGGGGGGGGGAGGCGGGGATCTATGTATAGGAACAACTGATTCACTTGGCTGCACAGCGGGAACTAACACAACATTATAAAGAAACCATACTTCAATAAAAATTTTTTAAAAAAGAATTAACACCAGGACTCTTGCCAATTAACACCAGGACTCCCACACGTAAAGGAATAATGCCTGGCGTGGCAGGGGCCTCCTGGACTTTGCTCCATCACTGCAGCTGGTGACTGTTCTGACCAGTTGGCACCTTGGCAACCATCCACCGGTTGGCAACCATGGTTGCCAAACATTTTCAATCTTCATGTTGGTTCTACTGTGAGTACTGAAAGCTTAGTCACCTAGAGAAGTATGTGCTAATGGGTCTTTAAAGTGTGGGCAAGGCAAGACAGGAATCGCAACCAGAAAGGATGGGAGGGGATGGGAGGGAGCAGATGGTAAGGTGGCTTTTGTCTGCACCGTGATAGGCAAACAGGATCTTAATGGCTTGCAGCCTAATAGAGAAGCTCAGGAAGACTGTTGTATTACCTTCCGTGGCTACCATAATGAATGACCATGAACTGGGCTTAAAAACAAAAGAAATTTATTCTCTTACAGTTTGGGAAGCCAGAAGTCCAAACTGCCTCTGCAAGTCTTGGCAGGGCCATGCTCCCTCTGAAGATTCTAGGAGGTTATCCTTTGTTGCCTCTTCCAACCTCTGGTGACTGCAACTGTTCATTGGCTTGTGGCAGCATCACACCAATCTCTGCCTTCCTCTTCACATGGCTCTGCTCGATGAGTTTCTATGTCTCAAATCTCCCTTGGCCTTTCTCTTGGAAGGACATCTGTCATTGGAGTTAAACCAGGATGATCTCATTTTGAGAGCCTTAATTATATCTGCAAAGACCTTTTCTGAAGATAAGTTCAAATTCACAGGTTCTGGGGGTGAAGATTTGAACATCTCTTTTGTGAGGGGCGGCCACTATTCTCTACTATCACCCTACTACAATTATACACAAAAGCAGAAGACTTTGCACATAGACAGCACTTAAATACTGTAGCTGATACATATCTTCACTGTGCTTGATAATTTTCAGAAGACTGTAATTCTATGACATGGAAGAGTGTGAGGGGGGAGCCTTGGTGCCTACCCAGAAATGCTCCCCAGAAGCATTCTGCTGCTCTGCTCTAGAAGGGAATCTGTCTCCTCATCTTTTCCAGCTTCTAGAAGCCACCCACATTCCTTGGCTCCTGGTCCCACATCACTCCCTCCTCCACTTACCATCACATCTTTTCTCTCTCACTCTGACCTTCCTGCCTCCCTTTGATAAGGATTCTTATGGTTTATTGAGTCCACCCAGATAGTCCAGGATAACTGTCCCATCACAACATCCTTCATTTAATCTTATCTGCAAAGCTTCTTTTCTGTACATTTGGGTTCCAGGGATTAGAATGTGAACATCTTTGGGGGTTATTATTCTGTTGACCAGAGTTGGGAACTTGGGTTTCATTCTAACAGCAGTAGGACTCAGTGGGTTTCAAGGAAGGGATTGAAACCAGCAAAACTAGTCTATGGTACAAGCAGAAGAATCATACTGAATAGCAGAGACAAAAAGACTGGCCATGGCCAGAGGGTTTTAAAGTTTAGAAGCAACTTACACAACACATTTAAACTTATAAGCTAGCTGGCCATGTGTAGGAAAACTGGTTTGGGTCTTTCTCAAGCAATCCTTGGAAGTTTTTGTGAAGCCCCGAGTCCCAAGATGCCTTTGGTTATTATTATAGGTGGACAGCTGGACAAGGTGGACCAGATGACTATTTGGGTCAAGATTCTATGCCCATGATGAGTAGGCCAGGTGTGGGTGTGCCTGGAGTAATGCTGTTTTAGTAGACACAGTTCCTGCCCAAGTGTTGTCCCATAGAGAAAGATACCAGAACCAATTCAGGAACAAGAAAATGGCCAAACAGCCATAGGAAGGAATGCTGTGAAACTTTCAGAAATCCAGAAATGTGCATTACGTCGATTCCCAGAAATGCTTTATTAACACTAAGTACAAAGGGTACATGGAATTGTTTGTGTGGATTACATGTGTGTTTAAGGAATATGTAAATCACTAAAAATTTTATAAAGATTTAACTTCTCTCTAAAGTTTGGGAAGTTCATTCCAACACATCTGGGCTTCTGGCAACAGCTTCTTGCTCAGAATTGCTCAGAATGCCTTCCAGAAACTCCTTTAGGATTGGCTCTCCCTGCTCCTCTCTT